CATCATACAGATTTCTTCAAGGCTTTAACAAGCCTCTTTTCTAGATCCAATAAGAAAACATTTTCCAGGTCATTCTCTTGGTTTATCATTTGTATTTCCCTTTATTTTTTTAAAACTTCAGCCAGTTTCTTTTGTATATCCTGTAAAATGTCCTCTTCCAAATCATTCTCTTGGCCTGTCATTTGCAGTTCCACTTTCTGTACTTTATCTTTTCAGATAAAATTTGTTCTATATCGTCATTCCTTCATTAACATCTTTTAGACACAGTCAATCCATAGAAGCAGACATCATTACTGACAGTGGTGATATTGTGGTTACTAGCTTCTGGCTCCATTCTTCAAAGATCTCCTTCAGTGTTTCCAGTGATATAATCTTTTGTGTCATTTGTAAATCCCTGTATTAACTGACATCAGGCATGTATTTTTTTTTCTTCTGCTTAAAATCTTTGGACCCCTCTAGTGTCCAGTTTCTAAAATCATCACTTATCTTCTGTTATGACTTGCAATAACCAGGATAGCCAAAATAAGTCTGTTTCCCACAGAAGTTGTTTATTTTTGTATACTTAATTCCAAAATCTTATAGTAAAAGTCAATATTCCAAATTTATCTGGACCCTTAATCTGTTTATAACTTTCTTAGATCAAAGTCTTATTTAGTATTTTGCTGTTTATTTCAAATGCTTAAGATCAAATTATAAAGTCTTAAGCTTATAATTAATTTTTTTTTTGTTCAGAGTTGAAGATAAACTCAGCTGATGAAGTCTTTTCAAACTTATCATTCCAAAGGTCTCTAATAGCTTTAAGATGGTTAAATAGGCAATTTCTGAAAATGATTACAAAGTGAGGCTTGCAAAATTAGTCTCCTTTAAAAGGTCCGCCATGGTTATAAGCAAGGTGGCTGATCCTGTTGTTTCCCAGTACCCAAACCCATGGAAAACCGTTGTCCACTTGAGCATATATGGGCGATCTCCCATCCTCTCATCCGTAGAGGATTCTAGGAACCGGTCTACTCACCAGTTCCTTGGTCTTTGCTGCAGTCATTGGCTCCACTTTCATGGAGAAGTCTTCAGTTTGCCATACCTCCCCAGAAGTCTGTTTGATTAACTTACTTTTAATGAAAATTAAATTAAATCTAATTTAATTTTTGTTCTCCACACCTGCTTTGTGGAGTGTAGCCCAAAGCATATCACTCAAGATCAACTGTGGTCCTTGTCTGAAGAAAAGTTGTAGCTGTAGATTTGTTTGGTTTGCATTGTCAGGGGAACTAAATTTCTTGTGCATTTTTAAACAAATTGGTAGCCCAAAATTCAGCCATCCCTTACACTTCTCTTCTCTTTTCTTTGCTTTTTGTTTCACTTTTCCTTTTGTTTCTGATGCTGTTCACCAGTTAGAAAATGATTTTATTAGAGTACAGCTCTGTTTATGAAAATGACACAGGTTTGCAAAAATGTGCATGTTAAATAAAATGGCATGTGCAAATGTTCATATGCCATTTTATTTAACATGCAAATGTTCATATTAGAAACAGCATGCACAATAAATGTGAATTTTTGCTACTGCCCCAAGTGGTCTTCCATCCAATTACTAATCTGGCCCAACCCTGCTTAGCTTCTGAGCCCAATCAAAGTCAACTAGATGTTGAAACTTAAGACCAAAACTGCCTGATTATTAGAGAGGCTACAAAAAGTTTTAAAAGCCTCATGTTCATAAAAATATTACTATCTGTTTAAGAGAGGAGGAGAAGAAGGGGAAGAGAGTACTTCGCTACTTACTTTTGCTGCAGAATTGCTTACATTACTTGTATGAAAATTGAATTAAACAATTGATTGGGTAATTGACTAAACCTTACATTGTTCATCAGCAGAGATTTATTTAATTAGATCACAGTTCTATTCACAACTTAGTACTAATTCTACTGTGCTACATAACAACAACACATTTATTTATTTATTTGTCACATTTATATAGTTGCCCATCTCACACAAAGCAACTCTGTGTGAGTTAACAATTAAATAAAACAACAAATAGATTAAAAACAATCATTATAAAAAGAGAAAAAGTAATTATTAAAATGAAAATATTTTCAAACATTTAAAAATATACAAACTCCCCGGAGAGAGCAGAACATCAATCACAGTGAAGCCATCTAAGAACACCTCCGGTTCCCAAAGACTGTGAGAGTTGAATATATGGTTGAGAAGTGAAGCAATTTCCCAAGTTCAGTTTCAAAAGCACATCACATTCTGGGATTCAGGCCAATTTCATAATCCAACAGTGGTTTGGACTTCCACGGGTAAACCTTGCCTTGATGTTCCTGAACAGTTCCTGATTCATTCTTATAGAACTCACAAAGGGACATTTCCTGGCTATGTTTCCAAAAAACAAAGAAGGTCAATTCCAATTTTTTCTACTGAGGCCTTCTTGAAAACAAATATGCTAGTGGGTAGTGACAGATTTTTGCAGGAGATCAGCCTGCCACTCTGGGGTTTTTACTAAAATATTAAAACAAAACAAAGATGAAATCAAGTGAACAGGGGACTTGATGGGCCCCATGAGAACAGAGGCATTTACAGCTAGCCCCATTGCTACCAGAATGACAAAACCAGTGTCTGTGGGGTCACACTGCAAGTTTCATCCCTTATGTCCTTGTGTGTAACATCACAAATACAAAAGGGTTGGAATTTAAGTTGCAACACTGCAATGCATATTTTGTTACTTGGCCCTTCCTGGGGTGCCCATTTATGGAAATCCATGTGGCCCATTTTGCTCCAGAGCTTAGCTGCGAATCCTAAAATCAAGTTGAAAGGAGGCACGGAGTCCAATGTTCACTGGGTGTGGGAATCCACATTACAGCATTCCTGACAGTTGGTGCTACTTTATCTACCTGTATCCAGGAATTTTAACCCTCAGTAAAAGGGATTTTAAGCCTCTGTAAAATAGTCCACTGTTGTTGGCTAATCAATAGTGGTTTTTCCATGTCAAAATATTGCTTGATTTATTTTTTTGGGTCAAATGATGAGCCAAATGAGTAAAGTACACAAATTAGAATGATGGGGAAAGGAAATAGTGTTGGTACAGAGCATATAAAAAGTGTATCTGCTGGTGCAGGTTGCAATTTGCAGTGAACAAACCATGGATACTCTCAGATCCTGGTTACATTTCTCAAGAGTGCAACTCTGCCTGAAATGGCAATTGAAGCAAAAGCTTAAGAATCTAATTTTTCAAGGTTAGTGCAAGAAGAAAAAAAGAACCTTCAGGAAAGGAGATATAAGATCAACTATTGCACTGATGATGTTACCTAGTTGGGTAATGAAACATCTGTGAGCAAACAACCGAGCACCGAGAGCACCAATAAACTAGGTTGGGAAGAAAGATGTTTATTTTAACATCCATAAGTTTGTGAAATGAGGAAGTAGTTCAGAATTTGGACTGAGCCCTCAGCATTCTTGTCAATTGTTGGCTGGTTGGTTTTTGGCTGGTGTGTCCCTCACCGTTGGAAGTCAATAAAAGGAAGCATGCAAAACTCTTCCCAGGTTTTGGAGACCTAGATCACATTACCTAGTTTAAAAACAGAATTAATGGCATAGAAATCTGGGTTTTTGTTTGTCGTGTTTTGTTTTTAAACTGTTGACACATAGTTTTCAGCAACCTTCGTTCTTTTGTGTCTCTCCCATTTTTAGGCAGTGTTTTATTGATGCTCAGTAGTGCATCTGGATGTTGGCAAAAAAAAAAAAAAAGTAATTGCACAGAATCATCTGTGCAATTTTAACC